TTGGAGAGATATCGCCAAGCTGGTGAGGTTTTGAGCGACTAATTTTTATTGCGAAATTTGACGAGAAATCGCCAAAAATCGCTGTACTTAGTGACGTTTTTGTCTGGCCCCTGTATAACTATTATTCAATAACTGTAATTGATCCCTATATTTAACTGTAACCATATCCGCTCCGAATATGTAACTCTAACCGTATTGACCTTCCAGTAATTCCGAAAAATGTAAGTTACTAGAGAAGTCTCAGCAGGCGGGTTAAAACTTTCTAAGATCGGTGAGGGCATTAGCTCGCAGGTTTTCAGCTCAGAATCAACTTCGAAGTAGTGAGATATCTCCGAGTGAGCTTCGCTGTTTAGATGCGCTTTACACTGCGTTGTGTTTAACTCCTAAGGCCATAAGTTTTATTTGGAGGAACTTAACAGGCAGCCCCCCCATCGTCTCCTATGAATGGACGGACATTTACAGCCATGCTTTCTCCGGGAATCGAACCCAGGTCTTTCGGGGCCTTACTATGCTCTCCTAACCGCTATACCGTCTGAGTGGCAGTTCCAGAAATGTACAGTGTTTCTTTTGAGAAAATAAATTTTATCAAGCTATCATTGGTTCTGTGTGCATTCAATCCACTACGAAATCATACGCACGAGACAATATTTTACGTAAAAATGGCCAAAAAAGTATCTGGAACAAAGTAGTAACTATTAAGAATTTATTACAACAGTTCAATATGCAAAACACGTAAGGATAAGGTAATTTTAAACGAAATTATGTGCTTATTTGTAAGTTAAGCGTATATATTTTTGTACATTCCAAAGATTTATAAGTAAGGTTCTTAAAACTTTAGTTAATACTTCCGCATTAACGCGAACTTCTGTATATTTTTTATCGCGTATGAAGCGAATTTTTTACAATATCTACATTTATATTTTAATTATCTATATACTCATGGTATGTACAATATAGTTTATAAATTTTTTCTTTAAATATATCCATAAAATACGTGCGCATTTTAAAATGCGAACGCAAAGTACAAAGTGTTCATTGTCATACAAAGTTTCCCCAGATTCATTTTTCTCGTGCGACATCATATATTAATCAGTTAATATATTTAAATGGATAAAATTATTTAATAATAATTTAAGCTATGTATGTAATCAAGAAGATTTAAGTTGTTTACATTGGGATGAGATACCTTCGTGGAGGAGTTTCTCACTGAAACTGGCTCGTATCCCCGTTACACATAGGAAAAGCCACGAAAACGCCCATGCAGTCAGCATGGACTGGAATTGAGCCCAGGTCAATGCACCAGTGTTCAGCGACATTACCGCTCGACCTCTGTTGGGCCCTACTTTCATTTTTTTCATTAGCTGAAACCAATGTGTAATTTGTTTTAGAAAACTGTTTTATTTAGCATAAAATATTAACACTGTAACTTTTTTACTTTAAATTTACTTACCATAAATAATTTTATTTACCGTACTTTAAGAAATTTTTGTTCAGTAAATGGCAAAACTAAATCTTAGCACTTGATATTTTTTGCCATCTTAGCCACACGCTTTTGAAGCACCTAGCATATAGATTTAAAATATAGAACTTTAAAAGACAGCTTGCAAATTAGTATTAATTAAAAGAGGAATATTAGCATTGAAATAAGTATTTACGATATACCAGTTAATGTGTATAGATATGATAAATACAGTGAGCCTAAATCTTAGTTGAATTACTATATCGTCTTAACTACATATTTCTGAAACAGATTTAGAATACAGAAATTTACAAATGAACTTCAAATTGCATAAAAAGAAAATTATCATTCCAACGAGTATTTACAATACACAAACTAATATATATGAAAGTGATAAATCAAACGAGTCTAAATCTTAGAGGTTCAGTTTCTTTGCCATTTCAATCACATTTGGAGCATCAAACATAATTTCATGAAGATAACTTGCAAATTAATTAAGAATAATATTATCATTGAATCAAATATTTACGATACACAGATTAATGTGTATGGTAAGTCAAATGAAAAATAAACATTCTTAGTTGTTCAGTTTATTTGCTATCTTAATCACAGGCTTTGGAGCATGAAAAATATCGATTTACAATAAAGAATTTTACCGAGATAACTTGCAAATTAAGAATAATATAATCATTGAAGCAAGTTTTTACGATACATCGATTAATGCCTATGGTAAATGAAAAATAATCACTCTTTGATTCTTCTTAGTTATCTTATCCGTTTTCACCAATGTTATTGCTCATTCTTAACATTTGAAACTGCATTATTTCGTTTTTCTTATTTTTATGGGTTCACCTCTTACATTAATCGATTATGCTACTCGCCCTTGAAATGAGTCCTTTAAGCATTTACGCTCCAGTTGGATGAAGCGTGAACTTTCCAAAGAGCAGGCAAGAACCAATAGTTTTACCCTGAGTTTTGTAATAAATGGTCGAAATTTCGACCAAAACTAATTAGTTCTAACATGAGAGTAAGTCTTTATTTTTTTCCTTTCTTTCTGTAGGGGATTTACTGAGAATATCAAGAAAAGACGATCTATAGGGTATATTGTTTACGAATCTGTGGGATTACGGAAGATGTTTTGAAAAGTTGGTAGCTCGTATGTTTTTAAATCAAAGACTTGTTTTTCGAAGAAACTGGAGTTGTGGGTGGGAAGAAAACTGCTATTTGGATTTTTTGATTTCAAATCTTCGACTAATTCCTAGCTGATCGTAAAAAATTGTTGTTAAAGAAACTTTTCATAGAGGCTTATATAGGATTCCTGCAGAACTTTTATAGGAAACATTCAATAGAAATGCTTCTCAATAAAATTATACAGCAGTTTTATAAAATTTTCACAGAATATTCTGTAGAAATGTGTCTTTACAAAATCATACACAAATTTTATTAAACCTTCAAGAATAGTATTTTGTAGAAATCTACAAAGTTTTCGAACTATAATCAAAGCAAATTTTCAGTTTCAGAGCTACTACGTGGAATACGGGAAGAGCAAACTTAAACAATTTTATTTGTAAGTGTTGAATCATTTTTGAATGGACATTTTTTGCCTTTTCCCTTCTAAATCTATTTAAATCATAAAATTAGTCAAAAATTAAATTTATGCTGTTATTTATAAAATTTTAATTACCGAAATCGATAAAATTAGTAACACAACAACCTTGAGTTTGGCGTAGATTTATGTCAAAATCTCAATCAATTTCGAGGGCAAGTAGTACAGATCTCTCTTGGTCAGAAGCAAAGAAATTTGAAACTCATCAGTTTTGAGATCTTGACAAAAATCTACGACCAACTTAAGGTTGTTCTATTACTAATTTTATGTTTCACTTGGGATATTTCTTTTCTATTTACCGAAATTGATGTCTTTCATAATTATATATATGTGCCCCCGATCAGAGAACTTAACCTTAATTTATTTATTTTTATTTAAATATAACTTTTTGAAAGCAAAACGATATTGAAATTTACATTAGGGAAAAAATATGCGTCTGTTTGGAAGGTTTCTATTTTTCCTCTCCCCCATTCTATACCTCATTTCAAAATTTAACTTGAGAAATTATATGCGAAAATGGGAATTTAATTCATTTCTTTTAATCTGAAACGAAAATTTTGTTTATTTTATAATACTTCAAATCTTTTATAGGATATTTTACAGACAATTATAGAAATTATATCTTGAGAATTCTTTAGAGTTATTGCCCAAGTTTCTATAAACTTAATCTGATATTTTCAACGGAATTCTATTAGTTTATCTTATACACATTATATAAGATTTTATACATGAGACATTCGAAACTCTGCAAGTTCTTATGGAGTTTGCACAAATCTCTATAGAATATCTCTACATATCCAATAAAATTTCTATACATAAATCTGTAGAATATTTGTATAGCTCTATAAAAGCTAGAGTAGTTTTCTATGTTTCCCAAAGCGTTCGCCAAGTTTAAGTGCAGGCAAAAGACTACTCCTATTTATTAAGTGAAGAAACGTTTCTTCTTTAGATTTGATCGTTTTTGTAACAATATTGGAGTTAAGAAACAGTACTATAATTCTTATAATGGTAACACTAAAATTTAATGGTAACACTAAAATATAGATTTTTTTCCCTCACTGTAAGAGCCATTTTGAAAACGGCATTCAGATACAAATATCAGTGATGAAAGAAAGAAGCTCTTATGCAATTAAATTCTCTACGTTGTTAAAAAATCTTTCTACATTTTTTTTTTTCCCGAGGCAAATTTTTTTTTTTTTTCTTTTTTTACGAAGACATTGCTCCCCTTGTAGAGGTAACCCGATGTTAGTAAATAGACAAGGCTATGTTCTTTCCAGCGCTCCAGTTCAGTGACTCAGTGACGTCACTTGACTTACAGAAGTGGGAGAAACGAAGACCAATTACCTTATGTTCCCCAAGGGAGTTGTTTCTCTGAAGCAGAGACTACGAGTCAGTGATGTCACACGCTCAAAGATTTTTGATCAGTAACATCAAACCTTGCAGCATCTCGCCTGACTTCAATTTTTAACCAGCTCAATTACTATCAACTGAAAGGTTGTATTCTACGATAACCTCACATGTATTCTACGATAAGTCCAATTCCTGGACAACTCTTTTATGAAACATTAACCACATTAACAAAATATCGTTTTCTTAAATGAGAGTACTTTAAATATTCTAAAAGAAATATATAAGAAGTGAATGCATACTCTTGTAGCGTAAATTGGTTAGTATGTCGAACTACCAACTGGAAGATCAATGATTCGAATCTCAGCGAAATGAGGGGTTAAATTTACTAATTTCTTGGCTCTTACATAGCTAATGAATGGTATCTACAAGTAGTCCATCAAAGCTCAACAAACCGCAAAACCGAACTTATATGAGTGAGACAAGGACAACACTTATAAAATAATATATTTTCAATTAATATTACGAAATATTTAACACAGATTCATTAATGATGATAATTTAATTAACAGTAGATGAAATTTTTAATACTTACACAATTAATATTTTATACAATTAATATTTTACACAATATTTTATACAATTAATATTTTACACAATTAATATTTTATACAATTACCAGAGAACAATAATAATCCTGCTTATACTGTATATTTCAGATTGAAGACTAAACCGGATGATCTCCTTGTTTCTCAAGTTGATTCTTTGACAGAAGTGTTTGATCAAAGCACAAAGAGTGTAGTAAAACTATTATAAATGCGGTTTCACTCGAATAAAACAAGAGCATTCGCATACCGGTTGCGTACAAAATAGGGATCGTGATCATTATTATTGCTATCAGTCGATGTTGACTTTGTATTTCTTTGCCGAATGCTGTTTTAGGAATTTCCTTTGCGCTGGATACATAGTATATAATAAAAGCAAAACCAATAATAATTAGAGCCAGGATATTCGTTACTAGGTAATACAGCATTAATAAAAGAAGAATAGCGACGTAATTGCTCTTGAATATTTGAAGGTTTTCTAAGACTCTTCCCTGGCATTCTTCATACGAATGTGGAAGTCTGTAATAAGAGATGCTGAAGAAGACTGGAAACCAAGGTTGAGCTTTCTCCATTAGGGATTTAATGATTGTAGATAATGACCTAGTCTCTGAAGAAGACACTTTTGAGTGATCTCCGGATACAATGTTTTCCTGCAAAATATTTCAATATTACCATTCCATAATATTTCATAATTTAAATAATACAGAGGAGTTTTACACATTTTTAGAACGATTTCGGGCTGTTTAATTAATGCTTAAAATGTAAAGAATCTTTTTTCTGGACTATAAGTTTGCATAGTGATTTCAACGATAGAAGGACCGTTTGTAAAATTTCCAAGGGTACTGATTTCCATTCCTCTTCTAGATTTCATAAATCAAGATGGACTTGCTCTTAGAAAGAGCTGTTTTTCAGAGACCAAAGGCATAATAGTCTTTAGGCGAAAACTCAGAACTTTGTACGAATACGTTGAAAAGGTATATATGCAATACCTATATTAGTCTTTATTTTTTCAAAGAATGCAATGGTCCTTTTCGAATTATGACTTGTTGCTTTGTCTTGATGAAGCTTCACACTTTGAAAGTCATGGGGATAAAGAAATGGAACTTCTTCTGTAAATATAGAATGTAAAACTCGGTCTTGGTAGTACGGTGAGTTGATATTAACACTTTTTTCCATTCTTCTTATTTTTGATTTGACATTCTAGGAGAATTCATGCGACAAGCGCAAACCTTTTACTGAAACTTTGATTCCATTGACGGAATCAGGTTTGTACGTTTTTTTCTCTTCTTTTTCCATAATGATTGACCCATTTTTTTGTTGCAGTCATTTAGAAAAGCTCATAATTCATAAAGAGTCACAATATGTTTTCATTTATCTCCTGCTAAATTGTTTTCATACCGGATTCTACAAATTGTTTTCCGTTGAAACACATTCCTCGGCAAAAACTCGTGAACACTATGTTTTTTAGCTTGCTTTATTATTTTATTTATTGTTGCTAGCGGTGTATTTAAAGACTTTGCAATTCATTTCTACGTCGGCGGATGTTCTCATGGTAGCAATGTTTTAACTTTAGGGACATTAGCAACATTACGTACATTTTCGGTTTTTCGTTTAGAGTTTGCTTTTTATATAGGAGTAATGAATGGTCGCTTTTTCCTTTCTATTAATATTATTGCTCATTTTGCACTTAGAAATTTCAATGCCATGTATTTCGGTACATTATGAAATCATGGAATATGAAAATCTTTCGTCGAAAAGCTCAAAAACATATTCTTCAATCCACAGCTTGTTTACGTGCGATAATTTGAAAGACGAAATTTAAAAGTAGCAGATGATACTTTTTATTTCAAATAATAAGCAGTTACCAGAAGTTTTATTCCAAAACATTTGTTTTTTTAAACTCTTTACTGAAATTGTGCTATAAATGTATTAATACCCTCTGTGTTAGATAAGTAAAATACTATTGTAAAAGTTTTTTTAGGCAAAATAAAATTTAAAAAAAAAATCCGTTGGAATTCATTGATGAATGAAAATTTAAACAGTGTAAACTGAGAAATTGCAATGTGTACAGGCTCGCTTACTGTTGATTGCCTGTTCAGGTCTGTATCGAACAACGAGAGCAGATACCTTTTAATGTAGAACATTACTGTTGATGGGAACAAGTTGCCACCTTCCCTCAGTTTTAATCCTGGCGCTAAAATCTCAGGGAAATAAATAGTGCTGCTTGGAATTTTAGTGCAAGTTCGCGAGATCAAAGCTAGAGGGCAGAAGACCTCTATACGGACGAACTAAAGTCAGTATGGTTTTGGATACATTGCCACTCCGTTTTGATTGTTGACAGCTGCCGAAACCATCCCCGCATAAATGTGAGAAAGAAAAAAGGAGATAAATAGCATGGTTTTGATACCAGGAAGAATGATTTGAACTACTGCAACCAACTATCATTCATCAGTCATCCTTTCAATGTCATCGGGCTCGGGTTCGAAACCTGGAGAAATCTTGGATGTTTCTAACCGTATAATGTATGCGACAAAGGGGCATCTAAAATACTTAATAAGCCAAAAGTCACTGCCACCATTCAAGATACAAAGATGTATATCAATATCCGCGATAAGCTTTTCTTTTATTTTGTTACAAATTGCTAATTGCTTAAGTTAATGCGGTTTTCCTCTCGCCAAGTGAACGTTGGTAACTGTGTGTTTCAAATAAAAATTTGTTGCTTTACAATTTCTAGTGAAAAAAGTTACTAAATTACATAAATATTGTTTCAATTTTTTTATGGCCACTAAGTGGCAATATAAATGAGCAAACTTTGATAATAGTTGTTTTCGTTCTTACCACAGAGGTTCTTATAAGGCATATACCGAGAAGGGGATTATAGAAGTTCCGGCTAATGGCAGTAAAATTTTATATCTCACGTATAAAATAATTAATGACGTATTATATACTTACGTATAAACTTACGTATAAACTGATATACACTGGCGTGCAAAAATTAAGGACGAGACGGTTTTTTTCAATATAACTTTGTACAAAAGCTTTCCAAATCAACACATTTAATACCGTAAGATCCAAAATACGTAAGGACATGAGTAATGTAAGCAACACTTACTAAAAGAGAAATTAGAGGGATAAAAAGAAGCTTTATTGAAAAAGTAGCATGGAGCGCAATGCGACTGAAGGCCGAAACATCCCTGTGATGGGTGTCCAGCAAGAAACACCCGGTCTTTAATAGGGGATATGATCTCCCCTGACTGCTAGGCAGGTTTCACAGCGTCTGCCCATGCTGAGAATGAGGGTGTCAATGAGTTGTTGAGGCATTGCTGCCCATTCGTCTTGCAGCGCCAATCGAAGCTCAGGAATCGTTACTGGTGGTAAGGTACGAGCTGCCAAGCGTCTGCCTAGAAAATCACATACATGCTCGATGGGATTGAGATCCGGAGATCGTGCCGGCCAATCCATACGTTCAATATCCTCACTCTCTAAGAGCTGTTCGGCAGCTACTGTGCGATGACATGGTGCATTGTCGTCCATGAAAAGGAACTGCGGACCCATAGCGCCTCTAAAAAGACGCACATATGGAAGAAGAATCTCGTTACAATAACGGGTCCCGTTGACTGAACCTGCGTCGAAGATGTGAAGGTCTGTACGACTACCAAGCATGATGCCTCCCCAAACGAGAACACCGCCACCTCCATCCCTGTCCCTTTCAATGATGTTCGAGGGATGATTGCGGCTTCCCCGCTCTCTCCAGTAGAGTATGCGATGAGAATCGCTACTCAGACTGAATCTGCTCTCATCTGTAAAGAGTACTCGTCCCCATTCATTGTCTCTCCAATTCCGGTGTTCCCGGCACCACAGAGAACGCCTTCTCCGATGGGCAGGCGTTAGAGGTACACACCGTACAGGGCGTCGTGCAAACAGACCACCACCGTGCAGTCTCTTCTGGCCACGGTAAAACGCGATATCGGTCGTCCAGTCGCCTGTGTCGTGTGTCTAGCGATTTCTCCCGCTGTCTGCCGCCTGTTTTCTTCTGGCCTGTAAGGCAATATACCGGTCATCTGCGGGTGTGGTTCCTCGTGGACGACCACTACTAAACCCCCGGATAGCTGTTCCTGTAGTTTGAAATTGTCTCCAAAGTCGTGAAACGATGCTGTAAGCAATTCCGAACTCTGCAGCCACACTTGTCACACTGCGGCTTTCCTCCAACTTCCCAATGATTCGACCTCGGGTAAAAGCATCCAGATGTCGTCTAACAGATTTATTATTCGCCATTTCTCGCTGAGGCAGCAACTCGGTGTGATTTTAACTGCTATACGGCGTGCAATCTCTTTGCCAAAATACTGATCTTACACCGACAACATGTTATTACTCACACTCCCATAGCTACCTGCTTCCGTCACCTCCTACTACTCCGATTCCTGTCTCGCTTTCTTCAATATTATTTTCGACTGCCTACGAACAGTATACTATCAGTTCAATGTTCCTTCTAACCTTCTTCGGAACATACAAGGACCTGACTCGGAACAGAGAGCTTACTAAAGCTATGTTCACTAATTGTAGTAAGTAGACAGGATACAGACGAAGGGTATACAAAACCCTTTATTTTTCTCTATATACAATGACTTCCGTACTTCGGAATACAATGACCCTCCACTCGGGGTCTAACGTAAAAGATATCAAAATAAAACTAAACTCTAATTTAACTTTAGAATAATAACGTGGAAGATTGGCCTTATAATAACAGGAAGCGTATGTAGCACAGAGACTGTGAACACTACAATACGTTTTAATTTATCAAGAGGATTAAAACCTCTGGCCTGGAAGGCAAAGTAGCAACTGCGTAACTTCTAAGGTAAGCGGCCTGCTTCGAACTCACTGCTTCCTCTCTCTCTGCTTGGCAAAAAGGCCACACTTAAATACTTGGCGTTCGCCAGACAAACTTTGCATAAAATCCTTCACGCTTATAATTCTGGCCGGAAGTAGAAAATAAGAAGTGATAGTAAAGATTTAAAATAAAATAAACGTTAGTAAAACTTAAGATCCTTACATACTTCCCGCCAGAGTTAATTAGTTTGAAACTGAGGTCTAAAACGACCTTGTTGAAAACTTTTAGCTCTAGAAATCTAACGCGAGGCCAATCTTTTACAAACATAACTTCGCTAGAAACTAGAAAATTTAAAAGAAAGAAATTTGTTACAATAGCAGCTCCCAGGATATACAACAATCTTTTTTTTTTCATCTGTACTGCATCTAAACAGGAGCTTTTATTCAATTCTGGTTCCTTCCAGAGATCTGGAAGGAAAACTAGTTTAATGAAATGTTACACAATGACATTGGCAAAGTAACATATAGAATTATACTTTCTCTTAACATTCTTATTTCATTCATGACTATTTTAATTATCTCTCCCCGTGCTCTCTGACATGTGTTGTAAAAGAACACCAAACACGAATGTGTTTCTGTCTACGTGTTCCACACTTCCTCCTACAATCAAAACACTAACGTGTTAAAATTCAACATAACGAGACCTCTTAACACACCCTAATTTCAACTCTAAACCCTGAGGTACTATTCTGAAAGTGGCTAACTCTAAAGTGTAGCGTCAGAGAGCCTAACTACATCATTCAACCTTTAACACATATTCACC